GCTGCTTCACTCTCTGTTCCTCCCCCACTCATGCTCTGCCTCTCTCTCTCAAAACTAAATAAGAAAAAAAATTTTTTTTAATTCTCTAAAAAAAACCTTAGGAGACATTAAAGAAGGCATTAAAAATAGCAGATATGTTCATGAATAGGAAGATTTAATACAGTAAAGATGTAAATTCCCTCCAAATTAACTTATATATTCAATTCAATTTCAATCCTACAAAACATTTACTCTAGGCAACTTTTAATCACCTTTAAAAAAGATGATCAGGATCTGTATAAAAAAAAGTAAAGCCTTATGGAAAAGTTAAGGACCAAATAACAGCTAGAACACTTGTAGCTTATGGAAGGAAAGTCTGTCTTATCAGGTATCAAGCTTATGCTATAATGATGAACAGAGTGAAGTATGGGCAAAGAATAAACAAACAAATGGAAGAGAAAAGAGCCCTGATATGGAACCACACTTGTAGGAAAACTGTGGTATATAACAGAGGTATCATGTCAGAACAGAAAGTAGGAAGAATTAAAAAAAAAAAAAAAAAAAAAAAGCAGAGCGCCTTGGTGACTCAGTCGATTAAGCATCCCACTCTTGGTTTTGGCTCTGGTCATGATCTTAACAGTTTGTGAGACCAAGTCCAAGCTCAGGCAGCACAGAGCCTGTTTGGGATCCTCTCCCCCTTTCTGCCCCCTCCGTACTCATGCACACTCTCTCTCCCCCAAAACAAATTAACTTAAAAAAAAAGGAGCTATAAAGTTACATTTTTTCTCATTTGTCACTTAAAATCTTGCCTTCGTTTATGACTATGCAACAGAAAGAGGATGCTAAAGTGATGATTGTTTTGCTGCTGAATTATAATTTCAGAATAAATAAAAAAAATTTCAATTCAACAAACATTAAGCACAGAGATTTATTTCAGATTCCAATCGGCCAAATGATACTCTTGGGGAAAAAGAAGTCTGCCATGTAAACGCGAAGGCAGCAATTCTGATCTGAGGAATCCATACACCTTCTAAAAAATATGTAAAGTTTTGTGTGCATATACATATTGAGTATTTTAATGTGGGGAGGCGCTAAAGCTTTCATCATCTTCCTAAAGGAGTATAAAGATCCAACAAAAAATAAATACAACCACGGTACTTAAATAAACAAATATTTAAGTACAACCAAACTATTCTCAGTAATTACTTATGAAGAAAAGTTACAGGTAAAAGGAAGAAAACGGGGATATTCACATTTATGTGCCATTTAAATCTAAAATAAATCTTTTAATTTTGAAAAAATTACAGATTTACAGGAAGTTGCAGATATAACAGAGAGGGGTCTTGGAAATGTTCACCCAATTTTCTCCAATAGTAACATCTTACATAACTATGGTACAATGTCAAAACCAGTAAATCAACATTGATAAAACTTATAGACCTTATTCAGATTTTGCCAGCTTTTACACACAATCATTTGCGTATATTTGTATTTATGTAATTCTATGCAATTTTATCACATACCTAGATTCATGTTACTATTACCATATTCAAGATATATAATTACTGTATCACTATAAAGCAACTCCCTGAGACTTACAGTCTCATACCAACCATCAATCTATTAGTTCTGATTTTTAAGAAGAATATATTATTATTAGGTATTTGTAATACTTATGTAAACTTCCCAGATGCGTGTACATATCTATGTGTGTGCAATACTGTATGTAGTATTTATATGTATGTAGATATATACATATGCACATCCATATAAACAAATGTACACACATACAATCTTAAATGCATAAAGAATTTTTTTCAGAAAATACTTTGAATCCTTAATAGTGATTTGTTTTAAATACCAGTATTGAAGGTACTAGGGGAAAAGCTTTTTAATTTTTTTTAGCTTTCTATACATTTTTAATTGTGTACAATTAACATATTTTATAATTTTTTTTGTAGAACAATGCTTTTAAATATCCCTTGCGTAAGGTTTTCTGTGGCCAGATTTGAGAAACCACTAGTTCACAGTAATGTTCTTTAGACACTTGTAGAAAATATCTAGGAACTCAGGGGTGAATACAGGAAAGGAAACTATCAATAAATTGATAGGAAATCAAATTTATAATATGCTCTGCTAAACTTACTCTGTAAATTTTGTGGAGCTCTTTCCACAAAGAAGTTGTAGGTACATATGATAAAATACCTCTCTGTTAACAGCAAAGGCAAGGAGATGCAATTTGAACAAACTATTCCTAAGAATATGTAATATATGGGTAAGACCACAGACTTAAAGGACCAGAGTGTCTTAAATCCTAATTCTCATTCTGCCATGTACTAGTTACGTGACCTGAGTAAGCTGATTACCCTTGCCAGCCTCATTTTCCCCATTTGTAAAATGAGCCGATGATAATATTCACCTTCACAACTGTTATACAGTTCAGACAAGTTTATCAATGAGGAATACTTAACACAGCCACTTGTCCATGTAACAGAAGTTATGATATCTGGCCGTATTATTTCAAACAACAACGGGTAAACAGATACTAAAGCAATGTAGAGGAAAGACCCAAACTGGAAGTTTCTAGGCATGGACTCTCTTTCCTTAGGTATATCAAATTCAAGAACTCATTTCTCCTTATTGAACATTCAATTTATTTACTTATAAATAAAACTGCCTCCTTAAGATCACACAAAGTACTATGTGTTAAAATACTAGAATACTCAAAGCACTATAAAACTAAAATGTACATAAAAGCTAAAATATTGGAGCTGGGAATAAAAGAAATATTCTGTAAATCAAAAAGACAGGCATAATGGATTCACAGTTTAAGTTGGAGGCAGGAATGGAAGAGAAGAAAAAAGAAAGAAGATGGGGGTGGAGTCAAACTAGTCTTCTTGGTGTGTCACCGCTGATGTCTTCATTTGTAAGAGGGTAATGGAAGTAGTGCCAACATCCCAAGGTTGTGAGGATTAATGGGATATAAGTAAAGCTTTTAGAACACTTCTTGGCACGTAGCTCCCATATTTTATTATTATTGCTGCTGTTGGCACATAGCTCCCATATTAATTATTGCTATTATTTACTGATTTATATTATTTTAGAGAGTGAGAGAGAGAGTGCGAGCAGGGGAGAGGAGCGGAGGGAGAGAAAGAGAGAATTCCATGCAGCCTCCATGCTCACCACAGAGCCCGATATAGGGCTTGATCCCATGACTCTGGGCTGATGACCTGAGCCAAAATCAAGAGTCAGACTCCCAACGAAATGACCCACCCAGGTGCCCCATTATTGTTATTATTATTATGCCTTAGCTTCCTTAGCTGTAAAAGGTGGGATAACACCTTACCTAATAGAGTACACATGAAAAATAAATGAGATATTAATAGGGCATGTCAAATAATACTCTAATGGAAGCTGATTATAACAACAAAGACGAGTTGGCCTAATATCTCTAACCAAATAATCTATGCATTTTTTCCAGAATATCCTATACTTGCATTATTTTTCTTATAGTTATATTTTCTTTAATTTTTCATCAAATTAATATTTTTTAAAAACTTTTTTAATGTCTTTATTTCATCTTGAGAGACAAAGACAGAGAGCAAGTGGGGGAGGGGCAGAGAGAGGGAGTCACAAAATCTGAAGCAGGCTCCAGGCTCTGAGCTGTCAGCACAGAGCCCGACGTGAGGCTCAAACCCACGGACTGTGAAATCATGACCTGAGCTGAAGTCGGACACTTAACTGACTGAGCCACCCAGGTGCCCCCATTAAATTCATTTTTAATAAGCTAACAATCACACTTAAGAAATACATTTAGAAAATTTTAATAATATTTTCAATAAGCTTTCAATGTAAAATAGCTGAATTCCAAGTAAAAAAAAAAAGCTAATATTTCATAGCTTCATATTTCATACATTCATTACATTAGAACCTATAAATATTGTTGGGAGTATTCTTTTTAGTTAATTGTAGTTTAGTAGAGAAAAGAGAGAGAAAAAGAATTTTTCCACCCTACTGCTTTAGTATTGCTTTTTCTCTCCTCTCATCTTTGGAAAAAATGGAATCATTAAAAGGGTGAGTGACAGGTTTTTAAAACCAAGTTACTAATTGCTACCATCTACTTTCTATTGAGCATTAACATTAAATTTTAAAATATTCCATTACCCTCTTTTGTGGCTTTTCATTTCTCTTTATTTTGTTTCTAAGCCCCTTATTTCCTACTAGGAGCCCACAAAAAGAACAATGCTTTCCTTTTTTTTTCCCCTCACATAAAAAACTCCATATTTGGGTATCTCTAAAGAAAGCATTTTCAGATGAAGTGGCTGTTATCACAGTTGCAATTCACTGGTCTAGATAATTTCTACAGTATCAGTTCCAATAAACTATTTATCATATGCACATCTGTATGAGTGATTTAGTGCTTCTGGTTCCCCAAAGCTGAAGTCTACTAAGAATCTTTTAGGCCAGAATAGATGCAAGGATGTTCTATTCTGGACTCCACAGGTGAACTTATTTTGTCTCCAATTCTATTCACATAGCAATTAGGTAGAGTTCAAAGCTCTGGGTCCTGTGTACAGTGGGAAGTCATTTTCCCACAAACTAAACTCACATTAATAGGCAAGTTACTGATTTAACACTGGGTCTAAAAGGGAACCAACTACTTAGAAAAATCTGTTTTCTTGAATAGGTAGGTTACCCTCATCAGGATTTAAACTGAGAGAACATGTTCAAACAATTCAGCACTGCCCTGGAATATTCAAGAGGGTACTAGACTTGCAACAACAAAAGACAGGTTACTTCCTTCAGGGGTTGATTGATTTATGTATATTGGACTAAAGACCAAAGACCTGCTAAAAAAAACTATAAAACAATTTAGAACATTGCCATTTAGATGGAAAATGAGGCTCGTTTAAGTAAAACATGGCCTATGTCTAGTCAACACTCATGCAACTGTACACTATTTGAAACCATTTCAAACAGCAAATTAGAATTGACTCAAGAAGAGAAACATTAGTACTCACTTTTTTATTTCTCGGAGCAGCATTCGGATAAGGATGGTCTGAAGTGGTTCAACCATTAATTTCCTCCACATATCCAATGCTAGCTGCCAGGAAAAATAAAAATTATCAAGGATGAGTTACTTTTAACATTTGTTAAAATGTTAAAAGACTTTTCAAAGTAAAAATACTCTTTCAAGTATTTATAACCAATATTTCAAAATTCAAATGAAAACTGAATATACACAAAAAATAAATTTCTAATTTATTTCTTTTTTTGGAAAGAGAATGCATGCAAAAGAGCAGGCAAGCAGGGGAGGGGCAGAGGAAGAGGGAGAAAGAATCCCAGGCAGGCCCCAAGCTCAGCAAGGAGTCTGAGGCGGGGCTCAATTCCACAACCAGGAGAACATGACCTCAGGCGAAATCAAGAGTTTGATGCTTAACCACCTGAGCCACCCAGGCACCCCTAAATGTCTAATTTAAAATGAAAATGACTATCAGATCAGACCTGTACAACAAACAGAATTCAGGGTTTTATCATTAACTGAAAATCTTAAAGAAATAATTGATTTGATTTTTACCGAATATAATTTATTGAATGTTAAATGCCCAGTATTATGGAAAGGCTAAGACTAACAGAAACAAAAGAATTATGTTAAAGTGATTTGGCTGTTGGCTGAGTTTTAAAATTATAAAACCTCTCATACAATTTACCCAAGGGATACAGAAATGCTGAGGCATAGGAGCACATGTACCCCAATGTTCATAGCAGCACTCTCCACAATAGCTAAAACATGGAAAGAGCCTAAGTGTCCATCAACGGACGAATGGATCAAGAAGATGTGGTTTATCTATACGATGGAATACTACATGGCAATGAGAAACAATGAAATCTGGCCATGTGTCGCAACATGGATGGACCTTGAGGGTGTTATGCTGAGCGAAATAAGTCAGGCAGAGAAGGACAAATATCATATGTTTGCACGTATAGGAGGATTAGGAGGAACTTGACGGAGGAACAAGGGGGAGAAGAAGGGCGGAAATGGTGGGGGAAAGGGAGAGAGGCAAACCATGAGAGACTCTTGAATGCTGACAAAAACTGAGGACTGATGGATGTGGGGGGGAGGGGGGATGGGCATGGAGGAGGGCACTTTGGGGATGAGCACTGAGTGTTATGTGGAAACTAATTTGACAATAAACTATTTGTAAAAAAAAAAAAAACCTCTCATACAAACATAAAGGGAAGGTCAATTAAAAGAATAATAAAACATTTCTGTAGTCACCACCCAGTGTAAGAAATACAATTTCCACATTACCATTACGCCAAATGTCCCCCTACTTTCCCCTCAAAGGTTACAACAACCCTGAATTTTGTGTTAAATCATTCCCTGGCTTTATAGTTCTACCAAATGTCTACATGTCCCCATAATATATATATTTTTTTATCTTAAATCCAGAATAGTCAACACACAGTGTTAGATCAGTTTCAGGTGTGTAATACAGTGACTCAACAATTCTATACATTACTCAGTACTCATCAAGATAAGTGTACTTTTAATCTCCTTCACTTATTTCATCCATCCCCTACCCATATCCTCTCTGGTAACCAGTTTATTCTCTGTAGTTAGAAGTCTGTTTCCTGGCTTCTCTTTTTTTCTTTCCTCATTTGTTTTCTTTCTTAAATTCCACTTATAAGTAAAATCATATGGTATTTGTCTTTCTCGAATTGTCTTATTTCATTTAGCATTATACCCTCTAGATCCATCCATGTTGTTGCAAATGACAAGATTTCCTTCTCTTTACAGCTGAGTAGTATTCCATCATGTGTATGTGTACACAGACAACAATTCTTCTTTAACTATTCATCTATATCGGTGGACACTAGGGTTATTTCCATAGTTAGGCTATTGTAAATAATGCCGCATATACATAGGGGTGCACATATCTTTTCGAATCTGTGTTTTCATTTTCTTTGGGTAAATACCCAGCAGTACAATTACTGGATCTTATTTCTATCTTTAATTTTTTTAAGAATATCCATTCTGTTTTCCGCAGTGGTTGCACCAACTTACATTCCCACCAACAGTGCTTGGACGTTTCCTTTTCTCTATATCTTCACCAACATTCACTCTATTTTGTCTTTTTGATACTGGCCATTCTGACTGGTATGAGGTGATATCTCATTGTGATTTTGATTTTTTCATTTCCCTAATGATTAGTGATTTGAGAATCTCTTCACATGGCTGTTGGCCATTTGTATGTCTTCTTTGGAAAAAGGTCTATTTGGGTTCTCGGTTCATTTTTTGAATTAAATTGGTTTTTTTGGTGCTGAGTTGTATTAAGTTCTTTATGTATTCTGGATATTAACCTTTACTAGATATTTCATTTGCAAGTATTTTCTCGCATTCACTGGATTGGCTTCTTGTTTTGGTTGATGGTCTCCTTTGCTGTGCAAAAACTTTTTATTTTGGGGTAGTCCCAATAGTTGATTATCGCTTTTGTTTTTGTTTCCCTTGCCTGAAGGACATAACCACAAATATGTTGCTAAGGCTGTTGTCCAAGAGATTACTGCCTATGTTTTCTTTTATGAATTTTATGGTTTCAGGTCTCACATTTAGATCTTTAACTCACTTTGAGTTTACTTTTGTGTATGGTGTAAAAAAGTGGTTGTTTCATTCATTTGCACATAGCTGTCCAGTTTTCACAACACCATTTACTGAAGAGACTTTTCTCCACTGTATATTCCAGCCTCCTTTGTCATAGATTAATTGACCCCAGAAGTGTGGATTTGTATGCATGGGCTTTATATCCTATTCCATTGATCTATGTGTATTTCTATGTCAGTACCATACTGTTTTGATTACTACAGCTTTGCAATATAGTTTGAAATCTGGGATTGTGATACAGTCAGTTTCATTCTTTCTCAAGATTGCTTTGGCTATTCGAGGTCTTTTGTGGTTCCATACAAACTTCAGGATTATTAGTTCTAGTTCTGTGAAAAGTATTATTGATATTTTGATAAGGATTACAGTGAATCTGTAGATTGTTTTGGTAACTCCTTGTAGGTTTTTTTTTTACATTCATTTATTTTTGAGAGACAGTGAGAGACACAGCACAAGCAGGGAAGGGACAGAAAGAGAGGAAGACACAGAATCCAAAGCAGGCTCCAGGCTGTGAGCTGTCAGCACAGAGCCTGATGTGGGGCTCAAACCCACAAACTGTGAGATCATGACCTAACCCTTAACCAACTGAGCCACTCAGGAGCCACTCAGCCACTGAGTTAATTCAGCTCTTAACTCCTTGCAGTTTCAATTGGCATCTTCTTGAATGAAGCTGGGTATCTTTTTATATTTTTATTGTATGTCTTAGTTTTTTTTCTGTGAAATGCCCATTCATCTCTTTTGCCTCTTATTCCATTAATATTTATCTTGTTCTTAATAAAAACTAGGAGTTCTTAAATACTATAGAAATTAATCTCAACAGTTTTATATACTGCAGTTTGTCACAGTTTTGTGACTTACCTTTTGAGTTCCTTTAAAAGTGTTTAGTAAAAATACATTATATTTTGGGGGTCCTGGATGGCTCAGTTGGTTAAGTGTCAGACTCTTGATTTCGTTCGGCTCGGGTCATGATCTCACAGTTTTGTGGCATTTGGCCCCAAGTCAGGCTCCGTGCGGACAATGTGGAGCCTGCTTGGGAATCTTGTCTCCCTCTCTCTCTCTGTCCCTCCACAACTTGTGCTGACTTTGTCTCTCTCAAAAAAAGTAAATAAACGTAAAAATTTTTTAAAAACACATTATATTTTAATGTCTCAATTCTATTAATCTTTTCCTTTACTGTTTGTATTTTTCATGTCTTTTAAGAACTTCCCTACCCTAATGACAGGGATATGTGTGCTCTTATATTGCCTTCTAAAAGTTTTCAAGTTTTGCCTTCCATTTTTAAATTCCAATATATTTTCCCATAGAGAGTACAAATTATTGCAGTATCAAAAATTGATTGCTCCTGTTTCCAACTTAATTGTATCTATACAGCCATTAGTCTGGTTTTAGCTTCTCTATTCTGTTTCCCTGGGGTAACTTTATTCTGATCAATTGGTAATTCCATTTCGAATAAGTAAAAGCATCTGCCTTCCCAGAAGGAACATTCTTCAAGTTTTCCCTTATTTTTTATCTTTTTAAATAGCACCAACAGGGAAAAAAGAAGATGATATAAAAGAAAATGGGATCTTATAGCTGTGGTAGGAGAGAAAACAATGTCTTTTGCTTAACTGACTAAGCTACCCAGGCACCCCAAAAACTAAGTCTTTTGAACGCAAGCTGGTGGGGCTATTAAAATTCAGGATGTTTTGACTTCCAGGTACCCACTCTATGATAATTTCTGCTCATGTACAAAGAGATATATCCATAAAGGTTAACTCCCTGAGTGTGAGGTTTGTATCTACTTTGTTTACTACTGTATTCCTAGTATATAGAAAAGTGGCACCCTGAGGGGTTTAAAAAATATTTAATAAATGAACAAATGAACAATGATATTCAGTGCAGTATTTACAACAAGCACTGTAAACTAACGAGAATAGTTTAATAAGTGATAAATAATTCTATATCCCTATTATAGAACACTGAGCTCTCACAAAAATAAACTTATATGAAAAGAACTCCTAGACACATTAACCAAAAAACAAAACAAAACAGGCAAGATATATGGTATAATATCATTCTGGTATATATGATATGATTCTACTAATGTTTAAAATAAAAAATTAAACTGTTATATGTATATGTATAAATATTTACATAAAATGTGCAGGTAAAATTCAGGAAAAACATAACCCAAATGGTTTATAGTGATTTCCTTTGGCAGAAGGAGCTTGACAATGTTGGTGATAAAGGACCAACATTAAAATACTCACGTATAATCCTACTAACTAAAGCAGCTACTGTTAAGATTTCGGTATTTCCCACTAATCCATCACTCTACATCCTTTTTCCCCAGCAGTTTTATTCCTATTAAACATATAATGTGTCCACATTTTTTCATAAAATATTTTCCCCTTTATTAAAGTTTCTATGAACTATATTACTAATTCATCTCTTTGCCTTTACAACAAAATCATACTGTATACATTCTATGTATGATTTTTACTACTGGATATTGGACATTTAGATTGTCTACCCACTAGTCACGTTTATTAACAATGATTGCAAGGAATACTTTTAAACATTTAAACTTTTTTCCCCATATTTATCATTTTCACAGTACAGATTACTAGACATGGGATTACCTAATTAACAAATATTGAACATTTTAAAGTCTACTGAGAGACAGTGACAAATTTCTTTCTTAAAGGATTATTCTAATAAAATTTCTACTCATGCTACATCTTAGCTGCTTATTTCTTTTATTAACACCCATCACAATTTAACATTAATTTCTGTACTTATTTGGCACTGCTTCCTCATGAGGACAGGGACCTTCTGTCTGTTCACCATTATATCCCCAGTGTCTGATCACTCAAAAAATACGTATTACATGAAATAAACCAACATTGTACTAGAGTATTTCTTTTACAATGAATATATACTTTATGTAATTTCCCACATTTAAATTTGCACTGTACCTCAAAAATCTGAATTAATTATTTGACCCATACACTTCAATGTTTCACTCTGAATTTCTTTAATTATTTTTTAAATTTAAAATAAATTTGTTATGGGGTGCCTGGGTAGCTCAGTTGGTTGAACGTCTGATTCTTGATATGGGTACAGATCATGATTCCAGGATTGTAAGATCAAACCCCACATTAGGCTCTGTGCTGAGTGTGGAGTCTGCTTAACATTCTCTCTCTCCCTCTCTCTCTACTCCTCTGCACTCATGCATACACATGTATGCGGTCCTTCTCTCTCAAAATAAATAAACTTAAAAAATAAATAAATTTTTTATATTCATAAATCTTTTTCCTTCAAGTCCATGATCTCTGCACTTTTTTAACTACAATAATCTCGACATTTTAAAAATACATTTTACGAGCTTTTTTCACATAGTGGAACTATTAACATTGTCATTTATTCATCCATCATTAATTTAATTATTAAAAAAATACTAATCACATCCCTTCTGTTCTCATCTATGTGAAGATTCTTAAGAAATCAGTGTGGTGTTTTATTAACATTTAGGATGTTAATAAATCTCGACAATTTTGGGGGTGCCTGGGTGGCTCAGTCAGTTAAGTGTCCGACTCTTGATTTCAGCTCAAGTTGTGATCTTATGGTTTGTGGGTTTCAGTCCCATGTCAAGCTTTGCACTGATAGCACAGAGCTTCTGTGAGAGCTTTTGGATTCCCTCTTCCTCTCTCTCTGCCCCTCCCTTGCTTGCTATCTCTCAAAAATAAATAAACTTAAAAAAAAATCTCCACAATTTCAAGGTAGTCAACACAGTATCTGTGAAAAAAGGACAGTGAATGAAATTACCTCAGTATATATAAAAACACTCTTATGCTTACCCGTCATTTAAAGAATTTCTTACCTCTCCTATTTCCATAAGTGGTTCATTCATATCTACACCCCCATAGCCATACTGAAGGTCAGCTTCTGTCAATTTATTTTTTTTAATAAACTGGGTGTTGAGATACCTGAAAAAGAAAATAATATCATTATTAAAATAAGTAGGAAAACAAATAACTTGTTAAAATCAGCAGGAAAACAAATAACTTGCAACTTCAAAACAATAATTTTGGGTTATAAATCAACTACAAAATAGTTTGGTAATATATATCCAAATAAATTAATTACGCAGAAATTAGAAATATAATTAAAAAGGAACAAAAGTATCAGCCCAACTTTCTCTGCAAGGCCTTACGAGCCAAAGAATATGACCTCTAGAGTAGGGGGGGAAAAACCCTACCACCGCAGTTTCACTTTAAAAAAACTCAAGGGTAAGGGGCACCTGGGTACCTCAGTCAGTTAAGTATCTGACTTCAGCTCAGGTCATGTTTTCACAGTTTGTGAGTTTGAGCCCCACATCAGGCTCTGTACTGACAGCTCAGAACCTGGAGCCTCTTTGGGATTCTGTGTCTCCCTCTCTCTCTGCCCCTCCCACCCCCTCAAAAATAAATAAACATTAAAATTTTTTTTTTAACTCAAGGGTTTGGTCTAAAGTTTTCCAGTACTCATATAGCCCAATAGCTCCTCTCCAAGGGGCTTCTAGAATCCTTTTACCATCTAATTAGCTCATCCCAGATTCTTTTGGTTTAAGTTCACTTTGTAAAGAACTAAACAAAAAATGTTCAAAAGATAAAAATCCAGTCAGTTGTTCAATTTATATTTTATCATCAGGAAAAGATGTCAGTTTTTGTTTTTACACTACAAAAAGAGATCATAATCAGTAGACAGAAAATGAAATAGATTGTTACAGACAATAAGAAGTATGGTCAAAACTGAGAAAGGTAAAATCACCTTGTCTACCAGAGGACAACAGCTTTATAATGTTTCAACGTATTCTAGGACAAGTAACAGAATGAACAGAGAGCTCTTTAAAGTAAATAAAATATGAAGAAAGGGCTCAAAACATTCTAGTACTCCCTTTCCACAATCCAAGATTTCACTATAATGCCTTTGTTATATATTTTTTTAATGTTTATTTATTTTTGAGAGATAGAGCACAAGCAGGAAAGGAAAAGAGAGAGAGGGAGACACAGAATCCGAAGCAGGCTCCAGGCTCTGGGATGTCAGCACAGAGCCTGAGGCAGGGCTCAAACTCACAAATCGTGAGATCATGACCTGAGCTGAATTCGGATTCTTAACTGAGTGAGCCACCCAGGGGCCCCTCACTATAATGCCTTTAATGCTTATCACCTGAAAGGTTCTGCCATGTGTATCTAGTTATAGACATACAACTATTTAGGCAATAACCACAAATTCTTTATATTAAAACACATGCTTTCTAATGTTCACTGCATCAAAATGAAAAGTCCACTTCACATGTGCAGACAACTGAAACTGAAAACAAAGGCAACAAAAATTTCAACTGTGTAATTAATTCTACCACCAACTCTAGCAGATGATGCAAAATACAATTCTTGGAAGTAACTGCAAAGCTGTCTAGACACAACCATGTACACAAGTTGCACTCCCACACTAACTTCAAGCCTCTAGACTCCAAGGCTGAAAACCTCAGTACTCTAACATTTTAGTCTCCTCTACCCATATGTACAATGTCCTATTTTATTTTTCCTTCAAAATGCCATTTTCGCCCTTCCTTCTATTCTCACTAAGGTCCTCATAATTTTAGGCTGGGTTTTCAACCATGCCTTCCAGTTGAAGAAAGGGGAATAGGACTAACAGAAACAGAAGTAAGAGCTAGAGAGAGAATGCCTTTTTCACCTGAAATAGAAGATACGGGATACCTGGCCTGAAACGGAGGTATATAAATTGGAGAGATATTTTAACTTCTGGCCTCTGTCACTCAGGTTTCAGCTCAAAGACATTTCTCCTAGGCCTGACCTGATCCCAATCCAAATGAACTTTAAGTCCCCACACCCACTCAAGTAACTACATACAACTGTTTTAGATTCTTCATGGTGCTCACTACTGTGTGAAATAATCCAATTCTGTTACTGTCTACTTGCTTTGTACACCGTCACCTCTCTAGAGTTTGACAATTACACAGCAAGGACCTGGCTCGCACACAGCACCCAGAACCAGGGGCAGCAGGTAAATACAGAGTCCTCACAAAATACTTCCTTGATGAATTACGGAATAAATAAATGGATAACATTCCAGACAGAAAAAGCTAATATTAGAACGCGAACTTGGAAAAGCAGCCTGGAGCCAGATCATAAAAGCCACAGATGCCAGGAAATACAAGTGATCACTAACATTTACTGAGCTCATATCACGTGTCAGGAATACCTCTAAGCATTTTATACAGCTGAATACTAGGAGGTACATACATGTGGTACTATTAGGGTCCTCCTTTCATATGTAAGAAAACTGCACCTTAGAAAGCTTAAAGAACTTGCCAACAGTCAACCTGCTAGTGAGTGGCAGTGCTGGCACAGAAACTCATGAGTTCTCCCTCTCACTCAACAAGGATTGACTGAGTGGGAACTCCACATCAGGTACAATGCCAGGCACTAAGGACAGAAAAATGAAAAACAAAAATGTGGTCTTCCCACACAGAGTTTACACATCTGGTAGAATATACAAATGTGAACAAATATAATAATTTAATGGTGACACATACTCCCTGAGTAGAGGGAACTTAAATGCCATATCTTTACCATTTCTACATGTCTTCTTATACGAATCCTTTGCTCCAAACCAGTTTCTTTTTTGGTCTGTGGTACCATGGCCATCCCAGTAAAAGATCAGTAACACTTCTCTTTCATCCTTTCATTCTATTCTATTCATTCAATCAGCCAGTCTCTGTGTCCTCCTAAACTATTCATTATCCTCTCCCATTACTTTCCTTCTCTCTTCCAATGTCTATTGTTAATTCTCTACAACACTCTGATGTGCAACACTCTCAAGATTGGTCTCTTTTTACTATTTCTGCCATCTCCAATTCATATAAAAATTTCACTTTCAGGATGTCACTTACCCATTCAGAATCCTAAGTAGCTCCCTTAGGAGTAAAATTTTTTTTTAATTTCTTTTTTTACATTTATTTATTTTTAAGAGACAGAGAGAGACAGCACAAAAGGGGCAGAGAGAGAGGACAATACAGAATCAGAAGCAGGTTCCAGGCTCTGGGCTGTCAGCAGAGCCTGACGCGGGGCTCGAACCCACTAACTGTGAGATCATGACGAGAGCCGAAGTCAGACACCCAACTGACTGAGCCACCCAGGTGCCCCAGAAGTAAACTTTTTAGCATAATGGTCTGTTAACTCTGAAGAATCAGCTGTAGATTTGCAGAAGGCTGGAATCACTAATCTGTTTCAATGATCTGTATGTTGAATCTTCAGCCAGTATACTGGTTTAGTGGAGCTTTATGCTTCACATCTGATAGGACAAGTCACCGTTCTCTTTAGCTCATGGAATAAAACTTTAACTTCCATTAACTGTAGCTTTCTCATTCCAGATTTCTACTCTTAATGTTAAGCTTAAGCTTGGGGCACCTGGGTGGCTCAGTCGGTTAAGTGTCCGTCTTCAGCTCAGGTCACGATCTCACGGTTTGTGGGTTTGAGCCCCACGTCGGGCTCTGTGCTGATAGCTAGCTCAGAGCCTGTCTTTGGATTCTGTGTCTCCCTCTCTCTCTGTCCCTCCCCTGCTCACGCTGTCTCTCTCTCTCAAAAATAAAACATGAAAAAAAAATGTTAAGCTTGACAGACAAGCTTTTAAAATAATTTAAAGATGTAACTTAAAATGTAAACAGTGGAAATTTTCATTTTGATATGGATACCTTTTAAGTTTACTTATTTTGAGAGACAGAGAGAGAGAGGAAATAAAAAAGTGAGAGAAAGAGAGAGGGAGGGAGAGAGAGAGAAAGAGAGAGAGAGAGAGAGAGAGAACATACACAAGCAGGGGAGAGGTAGAAAGACAGGAAGGGAGAGAATCCCAAACAGGCTCCATACTGTCAGCCAGGGCCAAAACCCATGAACTGAACCCATGAACCATGAGATCATGAACTGAGCTGAAATCAAGACCTGGACGCTTAAAAGACTGAGCCATCCAGGCACCCCGACATGGATACAATTCTTAACTGGAGTATTTTACAATTTTATTAACCACACATTTGTTTTTAAATAAGGACATACGTTCTAGGAAGTTAGAAAAGAAAATAGGTTCCAATAATTTCTTAAAGGCAACACCTGATTATTCTTCTCATGTATGATGCAACAGTTTTTATAATTTTTATGTTTTTATAATTTATTTCATCAACAAAGTGTTTAATAAGTATCCTTCACTTCTCTGGAGTTATTAGCACTGACACAATTAAAAATAGTACTTGCCAATAATGAATAGCCTAACATAACTTTGAAGCCCCAGAGAAACCTAGCATTTCAATCTATCATAGGAAACTGCATTACAAAAATTGTTCTCATGCTAATACCTACTGGATTTCAAGAATCGTTAATACTCCAAGGGCCAGCAGGGTCTAAAGAGCTATGTAGTATATTGAGAAAGGTAGGCAGAAGTATCAGTATTTTCCTGAAGTCAGAATGCTGAAATTACCTATGCGAATGCATATCTTTATAAATCAATCAAGATAAAAAAAAAAGAGGATAAAAATTACTTCATAAAAATACTTAAAAACACTTTTGAAACAAAACTGAATTTTTCCTTTATATTTCTTTACAAACATATCCTTACAGACTATGACTAAAAATGATAGCTAGCCTGGATAACCTCACTACCCCACAATTAGAAACTATCATTAAGCAGTTTTCATGTAATTACTGCCAACTGTATTCTCTGTGAAAAGGACTATTATACCAATATAATTAAATGATGGTCAGCCACATGATGCCAACATCACAGAGGTCAAATAAAATTCTCTGCACGTGAATCCCATTAGCCGTTAGTTCTAAGTCTTTGCTAGAGATAGTGGGAAGTTACTATATGATTTTAGAGTGATCAAATTTGCATGTTAAAAAAACAGGAGTTTAGTAAATAGAATAAATTAGAAATCAAAGGCTGGAGACTGGTTACAGGGATTTTTATCATTAATAGTCCAGCTGAGAAATGACAAAAAGCTTGAACTATAATAGCAATGCAAAGGAAATAATGAATTTAAGAGACATTTGGAGGATGTGACCAATATGGATCAGGGAGAAAGGACAACCCTAGGTGAGGGAAGGGTATCTGAGACTTAAGGCATTTACGTCTGGGTGTACAGTATTACTACTACTAATTAAAATTAGTAGGGGAGCCTGGGTGGCTTAGTCGGTTAAGCGTCCGACTTTCGCTTAGGTCATGATCTCGCGGTTGGTGGGTTCGAGCCCCGCGTCGGGCTCTGTGCTGACTGCCAGCTCAGAGCCTGGAGGCTGTTTCAGTCTGTGACTCCCTCTCTCTCTGACCCTTCCCTGCTCACGCTGTCTCTCTCTCTCCTAGAAATAAAAATAAAATAAAATAAAATAAAATAAAATAAAATTAGTAATACTGGAGACAGTATGTATATAAAAGGTAACATGCTCAGTTTTCCAATCTGCAGTTGTACAATGTACCTATGGAGTACCTGGAGGTATAGGCAGGTTAAGTAAAAATTACTCCTCTGAAACTTAGACCACCTGCAATACACAAATATTCTGGTGGTTAGCAATATATAGGTGGTAGCTAAAACCAGAAGTAATTGAGATCATCCTATAAAGAATGCAAAGTATAAGATAAAAGATGAGAACAAAATCTACCTAACTAAAGAGTGGATCTAGGATGAGACTAAGGTAGAATGAAGAAGTTGAATGGGTTTAATTTCACTGACCTGGGTTTGTACTAGCACAAATTTTTTTCAGCTGACTGAAAAAAGGTTAAAGTCATTTAACCTCCCTGAGCCTAGTTTCTTCGGCTGCAAATTTGGAGACACAAACTACATTATATGGTTTATACACACACACATTTGTGTATATATAATATATATTTAACAAAAAGTCATTAATATTACCAATTTATTATTAATATTACCATTAATTTAAATAATTTTGGTAAAGAGAATGCAGCCATAGGAAATCCTAGAACTCTAAGAAAAAACAGAAAACAACTTAAATCTTTACTAAAATGTCTCAGCTCAAGAGAGATCCCACTGCACACAGCACAGTGCACTGGCATATAGTCTTAAATACGCTCTTGTGTTATCTATATACCAGTGGCCCAAGCTTCTCAGCAATGGCAAAGCATGCATGTGCTCTCACTTTTACCCTCAAAATTCCTGTAATTCTCCTAATTTAGCTAGAGAATTCTTAAGGTTCTATTTATGACTATCTCACTTTGGTGGATGAGGGAAAAAAAGCGATGAAATGTCAGGATGTTTAATGTATGGTAAACGCTGTTTTATAAAAGCCAAAGCCACAGTACATCCTGTGCCTGTCAGCAACTACTGGCTTCTGATTTTATTACACTTGGCTCTTCTAAGAAGAAATAAAAGCTAATGGTTGTTGAAATAAGCTCCAGTTTCTAACAGAAGCAACTTACAGTAAGTAAACTCCAGTGTTGTTACAAAAACCTAAAGGAACATGAACCAGGGACAAAGGACAAACACGCCAAGAGAACCAAGCCCTGGCCTCAGTGTGGTACTCCAGCAATGCACAGTGTACCTGTACACATGGCATTTTGAGAATCAGCTTCACTCCTTGGTTTTTCCCCAATGAGAAACTGAGGTAGGGGTCCATCTTAGCCCATGCCACAATGCAGACGTCAAAATCTGCACTGCCTCATCAGAGGCAGAAATTTATTTTCACTGTCAATGTGAATAGGTTAGAGAGGATCAGTGTGGAGTACCACAGGAACATGCAGAAATGACAGTTAACACAAAAGATCTACACAGGAGACTAGGTAGTGCAAGGAAGAGGGAAGTTCAGAGAGGGGAATGTGGAAAACCACATCAGAATTTCTCGTTCACAGGGGCGCCTGGGTGGCTCAGTCAGTAAGCGTCCAACTTTAGTTCAGGTCATGACCTTGCAGTTTGTGAGTTCGAGCCCCGTGTCAGGCTCTGTGCTCACAGCTCAGAGCCTGGAGCCTACTTATGATTCTGTGTCTAGCTCTCTGCCCCTCCCCTGCTCATACTCTCTCTCTCAAAAATAATAAATAAACATTAAAAAAAAAAGAATTAGTCAGAAAGGAAGAAAGGCAATCCAGATAGATATGACAGCATAAAGAAAGAAAAATGTGAGAGATCATAGAGCATTACCACACTGTAGGTAATTCAATATGCCTAGAGGATAGTGTAGAACTTCAAGAGAAAAACTGCTGAGTGCTTTGACAAAGAAGTGTTTCCATGAAACATAAAATACTGAATCCTGGACTCCAAAAAGAGTATACTGGCGGGGAACATGGGCTTAGACTTACTTTGCTAAGCTTCGTCCAAGCTGACGTTCCACTTTGGAACTCTTGTCAAAATTTAGCACATAGAACAACGGAATTAAATACAGTTTTAGTTTTCAGAGAATAACTTTCCACACACTGCCTGGCTCCCAAAAACCCTGGTGACCCAGACTGCACTTTCCCCGTAGCAGACACAGTCCATATAGCAGGGAACATTTTAGTTCTGTTCATTTCTATGGGTAAGAGGTAATTCAAAAACCAAAAACCAAAACTCCTTCAATTACTGAATGCAGGCAGTGCTATTTAGATGGTCAAGAGTTTCAAAGCATACTTACCTATACAAGCAGTCCATATAGTCTGCACCTTTGCTATACTCCTCCCAATACCTATGATACATAACAAGTACTTGCTCTTCAGACTCCAGAACTCTCTATATGAAGAAGAAACATATTTTTACTTGGAAAGCACCAATCATTTTCATTTGTAAGCTATGAAATGTATCAAAAATTAATGTTCTAAAATGACATAATTCTATTATAAATTACATTTAAAAATTACATTCTAAATTAACTACTTTTAAGAACACTGCAATGACCAGGAAAAAAATGTCTTAGATATGAAATAAAGCATCCATATTAAATAATAAACTGTTTCATTCTCTGAAAGGACAAAATGTAATGGTGAGAAGCTGTCTTTGGGCTAGAATATTATGTTAAGATCAGTTTAAAATAGGAAAAAATTCTACTGCCATGTTATCTGTGTGCTTCCTCAAATCCCTCACTTGGGGTCATCCTGCTAGTTACATATTATCACTCTGAATTACTCACTTATGTGAGTAAGACTATTTATGAAAACTGACACCTTTTCTATTTTCCAAAAATAAGCTATTTTATATTTATTTAATAGAAATCTATTATTTTTTGAAAAATGAAAGTCAAACATTAAGTTTGAGGTCTCATTTTTAAAAGAAATGTAACAATAAAAATACATTGAACTGATATTCAAAAGATCTTAGGTTCTTTTTTAAAAATGTTTTTAAATGTTTTATTTCTGAGAGAGAGAGACAGCATGAGCAGAGGAGGGTCAGAGAGAGAGGGAGCTATAGAATCTGAAACAGGCTCCAGGCTCTGAGCTAGCTGTCAGCACAGAGCCCGACGCAGGGCTCAAACCCACGAACCATGAGATCATGACCTGAGCAAAGTCGGATGTTTAACTAACTGAGCCACCCAGGCGCCCAGATCTTAGGTTCTTTTATCTCAGTTCTTTTATGAACTGACCATATGACTGTAAGCAAGTCGACATCAACTTCCATCTAATTAATTCTCTGATGAAATACTATGCTTTTAAACTTGGAATTTTAGTAATTAAGGCTCAAGAGACAGAAATAACCTATAAATAGTATTTTTTGCCTATCATATTAATAAATAAATGAAAAATAGCAACTGCTATTAGTAATGCTAAAGAAAAGAGTACCCTCAGGTGCTGATGGCTGAATAAATATGAGAACAATTTGTTACTGTAGGTCAAAACAATAAAAAATGTTCATGACCTATGACTTAATAATTCTGTATCTAGGAATTCATCCTATAAAAACTCAGCTGCACAAAAATAATTCAGCTACAAGAATATTCACAGAAGCATTGTTTATAAAAACAAATTATATATATTGGAAATAATCCATATGCCCAGCAGTATGAGAATATTTAAACAAATCATAGTACCTCCACACAATGAAAATTTTTACAGTCGTTGCCAGGATTATAAAAGTTTATTTAATGACAAAAAATAGAGACTTATCAGATTATTAAAATCAAAAAGCAGATTATAAAGTGTATAATATTATTCAGTTTTCTAATAAAAATAAAATAAAGCAAAAATATGCAAAGGACAAATATCAAATTATATATATATTAAGATATGCCAAAAGAGATGTATTTAAGTATAGATAATCAAAATTATTCACAGCAGTTAATTCTGGAGTAATAAGTGATGTTTGGGTGATGATTTTCTTGTTTTTCCTTATCAGAATCTTCTAAATTATCTAAAACAGCAATGCAATACTTTATTAATTTAAAAAGTTCCCTCCCCCAACAAAACAAATTTTCTTCTCACAGGTGAAACTGCTTCAAATCTGTTGGTTATGTTAATAATTTACTTTGTCATCAATAAATTAGCCAACATCTTTTTTGTCACAGGTTCTGAGAAAACATATGGTGTACAATTACATAATTAATCTAAACTTTCCTAAAATTATTTCACAGTATCATTTTTAAATGCAATTACGTCAATATTAATTTCCAAGTTTTTTTGAAGTTTATTTATTTATTTTGAGAGAGAGAGCAGGGGAGGGGCAGAGAGAGGGGGAAAGAGAATCCCAAGCAGGCTCTGTGCTGATAGCCACATGCAGGGCTCAGTTTTGTGAACAGTGAGATCATGACCTAAGCTGAAACCAAGAGTTGGATGTTTAACAGCTGAGCCACCCAGGCGCCCCTCCGAGTTTTAATAATTGTACCATTGCTATGCAAGATGTTAACCTTAAGAAACTGGTAAAAATGATATATGAATTCTGTATTATTTTTGCAACTTTAATTCTAAGTCTGAAAAGTAATTTCAAAATAAAACATTTAAAGAAATGCAAACCATGCTAATATATAAATCGATAAAATTTATAAGTGCTTTAACAGGTAACAATCAAGGTATAACCAAAGTTCACTAGATTAGCATGGCAGAACTTTAAAACTACCTTAACATACTAAACATTATAAGAACAATTTAAAGTATCTGTTATTAAAAGTGCTTTTTATCAACTAACAAATGCACATATTAGAACACTAAAATGTATCTGCCATATATAATAAAAAGTAGAGCATTACCTTTAAAGATTTTAAGGGAAACATCACATGATCAATTATGCTCTGGGTTTATCACCACTTTAAAACATATCTGCACCTAGCCATGCCCAAGGTTAGACATATTATTATATAGTGTTGTTTTATCTCCATTTTAAAGATAAAGAAACGGGGCGCCTAGGTGGTTCAGTCGGTTAAGCGTCCGACTCTTGGTATCAGCTCCGGTCATGATCTCATGGTTTGTAAGATTGAGCTCCGAGTTGGGGTCTGCATTGACAGCTTGGAGCCTGCTGGGGAGTCTCTCTCAATCTCTCTCTCTCAAAATAAACTTTAAAGAGAAAAAAGACAAACAAACTTAAATTTCAATCCATAACGTAGATTAAGTGAGTTGCCCATGGCCACACAGCTAATAAAAGGTAGAGTTCAGTTGTCAGCCCAAACACTGCAAATTCTTTGTTCATACAAAGATAAAATCTGTCATGTTGCCCTTACATATGACATACTAACTAAAATAACTGGTCATAGGGAAAGTTTCTATCATGCTTTTTAATTTACCATTTCCCTTTATAATTTTAGGCTTTTGTAATACTTTAGGTAGGACACGAAGAGGCAGCTAAAAGGTTGAAAATAATACAGATTTACCATGTGTTGGGAAGAGTAAAACTTGGTTCTGGTAAACACCATCCAAAGAACATAGAAGCAAATTTTAAAGTTGAGCAAACCTTTATTTGAAACCCCACTCTTTCAGTTACTAATTATACAATATTGAATAACTAAACTCAATATCCTTTGGAGAATCTAACAACATAATGCTTAACTCACAGATCTTAAATATATATAATCAGAAAAATGTTATTTAGGAAACAAAGCAAATAACCTTAATCTGACATAAATTCTGCACTGGAAAACAGAAAACTAGTCAAATAACTACCCAGCTACAAACATATTTGTATCATGTATGTATCACTCCTTACCTTGTGCAAATGCCGTACGTGATTTTCCAAAAAAATCTTAGTTTCTGTATAAAGTCTTTCTCCAAGGGGTTCAGGATAGGCCACACATAAAGCATAGATATCTCTAGTTAAGTTGTTAAGGTTTTCATATTCATTAGAGATATTACTTTTAAAACAAAAGATTTAACTCAAGTTTGCCATTAAAAAATGAAATATTTCAGGCAATTCAAGATTATACAGATATAGAAAAAGTAAAATACATAGCCATGATTACTTTAAAAAGCACTGTGATCACTTACTCATTCAACAAATACTTCCTGAGAATTATTAGACAGCATTGTAAGGAAAATGGTTCTTCTCAAAGAGGTTAAAATTCAGAGTGGGTTCTGGGGCATCAAGTTACCCAGAAACCTACAAAATAAGGTTTACGTAAGAATGGATAGGAGCATAATATCAACAAAGGGCTACAGAGTATCATAAGAAGCAAAAATGTATAAGCAATTCTGAAAAATAAAAGTTACAAAAATTACTCATTTAATATATTTTCCTACATCATATACTCCTCAAAATACACTACAACCTATACACTATTCTTCAGCATTTATCCCATTAGAAGAACTGTAATATGAATAGTAATATCAATTAAGTTTTTGAATACCAACTAAGTACCTTGCTAGGTATCACAAATGGTAGATATATATGTCGCAGCCAGTTTTTAATCAGGAGACAAAGGAAATGGGATCTGATTGAGACTTTAGCTTTACTAGCCAATGATCTTGACCAAGTCTCTTAAACTTTCTAACTTAAAAAACTTTCTAACTTAAAAAAAACTTAAAAAAACAAATTTTCATTATAAAAAAAATACAGAGGTAGGATGCAGATTCTTCCTCTTCTATAGCCCCATAACATTTTATATATTCTTCTACAGAATTTATTTTTATACAATAGAAATTATTTATACCTTTGCTACCCACACTGGCCTGTTCTTAATTATCTCTATATTCCCAACTCCAGTGCACAATTCCTGGCACATTACAGTCATGTATTAAACAGCTGGTGATGGAAGGGAGGTAGGGAATCAGTATCACATGCCCTGCCTATATACTTAGTATTCTTACTCCGAAAAGAATAAGCAGTCCTCTCCACATGAGGTCACGGAAAGGTAGACTTTGGTCAGATTTTCCCAGGTTCCTTCTAAATCCTTTTATGTATAATTATAATTAGTAACTAATAAAATATCTTCATGTATATATGTATATCTATTTCTTCAATATATTGTTATAATAAATATAAACACAAAGTTTTCTTTACAGTAAAAAAAGGAGAAGCAAAAATATCCATATAGTGTAATATTGTGGTGCCAGGTTTTTTCGTAGAAAAAAATAAACAGTAAGAGGGATGCCTGGGTGGCTTAGTCGGTTAAGCGTCCGACTTTCGCTTAGGTCATGATCTCGCGGTTCGGGGGTTCGAGCCCCGCTGACTGCCAGTTCAGAGCCTGGAGCCAATTTCAGTGACTCCCTCTCTCTCTGACCCTCCCCTGCTCACGCTGTCTCTCTCTCCTAGAAATAAAAAAAAAATATTAAAAAAAAAAAAGAAAAAATACACAGTAAAAAACTATTATGATTATTTTTTTGTTTTAAATGTTTATGTTTATTTTTTATGTTTTTATGTTTATCTATTTTTGAGAGAAAAAGACAGTGTGAGCAGGGGAGGGGCAAAGAGAGAGAGAGACATAGAATCTGAAGCAGGCTCCAGGCTCCAAGTTGTCAGCACAGAGCCCCACATGGGGCTCGAACTCATCAACTGCAAGAGCATGACCTGAGCTGAAGTCGGACGCATAACCCACTAAGCCACCCAGGCACCCCTTACGATTATTTTAAATCAACTTGGATACAATGAAAATTTACAAAATAGAAGATTAAATAAAATAGTATGTAAGAACTATTTACCAACAATAACATAAATATATTAACCTATATTACCAAAAAAAGTAGAAATTTTAACATGCATCACCTAAGAAAGAATTTAGAAATTTACCTGGGCATAAATTTATAGAAAATTAATAATAGTGTGGGGAGAGGAGAAGGAGCAATGTATAAATGCAGAAGGGTGCTCCAAAATAACGTATTAGATAAGCTCCTGGATGCAGTTTGGAACCCTTCTAGGTTTCAGTTATAAATTCACTGCGGAAAAAAAGAAGTCCTGGTTCACTACATAATTTAAATCTCTAAGAGTTTTGTTTCACCATAGAGATTTATATTCAATCTCAATTAGTCATCACAATCTTACCTTAGTAAAATCAGAACAAAAGTCAAAATTAAAAGTATTAGAGGTGAGGAGAGTGCTTACCTCTAGTGACTGAGGGGTAAGAAAGGGTACTTCTGGGATGCCAAGAGTGTTCTATTTATTGGGTCCATGGGTATGTTCACGTTATGAAAATTCACCTGTACATTAATGAGTCAGTGTGTATTACACTTAAATTTAAATTTTATTTTTTAAAAAAAGACTAAATTTAGCCAGGATCAAGATCAACTATTCTTTTTTTATATAGTTTATTTTTATTTTTGAGACAGAGAGAGACAGAGCATGAGCAGGGGAGGGGCAGAGAGAGGGAGACACAGAATCTGAAACAGGCTCCAGGCTCTGAGCTGCCAGCACAGAACACGATGCAGGGCTCGAACCCACGAACCGGGAGATCATGACCTGAGCTGAAGTCCGACACTTAACCGACTGAGACACCCAGGCGCCCCAAGATCAACTATTCTTTTAGCAAAGGTGTAGTGTATTTAAGATCTTTTAAGTTCTGAATGCCTACTTCAAGAATTTTCATCCATTTTGCTTTTTCCTGAGCCATAAATATATTTAACTTCTAGAATACATAACTTACTTGATACTGGAAAATTAACATGATTCAATACCATAATTTGAGCCCAGGTAAACCCTACATTCGTTATTTCTTTTTAATGGAGTCCACCTTAATAAATCTTTTAGTTGGTTAACTCATCATAGTTCGGGTCTCAGTTAACCACTGTATAATGTCACTTGTCTAAAATATATTCCTAAACATGTTTTCTCTAACCTACTGAAATATCTAACCACACTGAAAATGTTTAGTCCTTAGGAAGAGCATCCAACTGTGTAGCATTCAATTGTGATTTGGTTATAGACAAGGCACTTTAAAAGACAAAAAATGGGAAATAACTGGGGGTCAGATTTAGATTTAAACACTCTCTTCTCCAAAGTTATCTTTTCTCTAAGTTACTCTTTAGGAAGCCAGGATATAAAAATTCCTCTTTTATAAACTTTCCACTTATAAATTTTCAGTCAAAAAACAAAACTGTAGGGGTGCCTGGGTGGCTTGGTTAATTAAGGGTCTGACTCCTTTTTGTTTTGTTTTGTTTTAAGAGAGAGAAAGAGAGAGAGAGAGAGAGAGAGAGAGAGAGAGAGCATGAGCAAACACCAGCAGAGTAGGGCAGAGATAGAGAGGGAGACAGAGAATCCCAAGCAGGCTCCGTGCTGTCAGTGCAAAGCCCAATTTGGGGCTCGAAGCCACCAGCTGCCGAGATTCCGAAATTAAGAGTGAGTCAGCTTCTGACTCTTGATATTGGCTAAGGTTGTGATTTCACAGGTGAGATCAAGCCCCAGGTGGGTCTCCGCACTGAGCATGGAGCCTGCCTAGGATTCTCTCTCCCTCTCTCTCGGTCACTTCCCAGTTCGAATGTGTGCACATGCATGGGCACTCTCTCAAAATAAACAAACATTTAAACACACACACACACACACACACACACACAAACTGTTCCAGAGCAAAAGTTCTGAACCCCGTTACAACCAAAAGACAGTGCTGACCAGCAGCAAAATTATTATTTTAGTTCATTTTCTCTATTAAAAGGTGCCTCCTATGCTTGGGTTTAGTTTTGAATTTTAACCCTATTAGTTCTGTTGTGCAGTGGGTCAAAAACAAGGAGTTCTACAATGGGAATGAAAGTAAAGATCATCCAAAGCAGCAAGACACACACAATCAATCATTTTCTAAGAAAGAAAAATCCCTCACTTGGAAAGGAGGAACACTGTATTATTATTTTGGGGGTCTTGACAATGGACTGCAAAATCCACCTACCTTTCCTCTGCTTCCCCTTCCCCTCGACTATCATTGTCGCTGTCTTGTCTTTTTCTTTCTGGGCTCTTGCCTCCAGTTCTCCCACCCCACAGCCCTCATCCCGTATGTGCTGGTCCTGCTGAGGGCCACTGCAGATGACTCTCATTAGAAACAAGAAAAAGAGAGGCACCTGGCTGGCTCAGTCGGTGGACCATGCAACTCCTGATCTTGGGGTTGTGAGTTCAAGCCCTATTTTGGATATAGAGATTCCTTGAAAACAAAATCTTTTTAAAAAATGAAATGACAGAGCACCTGGGGGGCTCAGTTTAAGCATCTGACTCTTTGTTTCGGTTCAGGTCATTATCTCACAGTTCGTGGGTTCGACGACCCCAGCTTGGGATTCGCTCTCTCCCCTGCCCCTCTGCCCAACCACTGTTCACTATGTCTCTCTCTCTCAAAATGAATAAACTTAAAAAAAAAAAAAAAACTAAAAAGGAAGAAAAAAGAAAACAGGAAAAAAAAAAAGTGACGACAGAAAACACCAAGCGTGTTGAGGGGGGGGGGGGGGGGGGGGGGCACAGAGGAGAGGGAAATGGGTGATAGGCACTGAGGAGGGGACTCGCACTGAGTGTTGCATGTAAGCAATGAATCATCGGAATCTACCCTCAAAACCAAGAGCACAGTGTATATACTATATGTTAGCCAACTTGACAATAAATTATATTAAAAAAAAAAAAAAAGAAAACCAAACCCAGGTAAGAGAAGTACAATGGGTTCTCGTTATGAAGATACAGCTTGTAGATTTGTATGGCTACACTTTTAAGTTATTTATTACATATAATAGGAAATACATTTTAAACAGTGCTGGTTTAGTTAAAAAAAAAAAAAGTAAAGATGATTTTAAAATTGAAAATGGTACAATGACCAATTCAGTACTAGCAATAAAAGATAAAGATCTTTATTGACATTTCTGAAGAGAAAGAATAAACACACAACATGTAAAAGATGCAGTATCTATGAAATCA